ATGTCGGACCGCCAAAGTTTCTTTCACCGTATCGTTCCAAGCATCTCCGTGGTCTCTAGATCTCGCCAAATTCTTTAACCCTTCGTCAAATATATCACCAGGCACATTCCTACTACCACAGCATACTAAATATTCTCGACCGAGGCATATTTCTTGCATCATCCAGATTCGGTGCCAGTAAGATCTCTGACACAAGGCCAGGAGTGCTGCGCGCCAATCCTTACGATTTCGGTCTTGTGATTCAGCAATTTGTCTCTCCCCTACACGGGTACTTTTCATTATTTTCAGGATCTCAATTGCAAGATCACTATCATCTTTCGCAGGACCTAGCCAGAGAATGACTCTTTGTGCTCTCTTGTAAATTGTTTGCATGATGTGTACCTGGCGATTTCTTTCCAGATGATCGGATTGATTGATACACAGAGCATCAATCCAAATATACCGATCTTTATCAACAAACCTCAATTGTATGAGGGCATCGTATAGGTTCTTTCGAATCCGAAATTTGCAATCATCCACAAGAATGATTGGGTCGTCGCTACTGGCTACTTTCCATTCATATGACAACGCTTCATATTTTAACGAACCCGAGGGATCTTTCAGGTCTATGTGGAGGATTGAACTTTCAATGGGAGACTCGCCGGAACCCCCACTTAGAATGAAAATTCGGATTGCTGTTGGTTTGTCGAAATCTAGAGGCTCATATTCAAATGTGGAAACGGGCTGTTCTTCGGTCATAATGAAACGTCTATCAGGCTCAGAGAATTCACATCGTATTTGAGACAACAACCGATGAGCCAAGCAATTCGAAGTTCACGTGTATCGTTTCTTATCGCCGAATCCGGTTACACTAATGCACGTATATCTTTGCCGGTAGCAGCCAATCAATTGTTTCCGGCAATTTAATGAAATTGACAAGGGGCAGATCGGCAGGGATGGGTCGATAATCCCAAGCCAAACAATTGGCCATCTCCCAATCTATTCCGGTGATTTGTGAAGTAACTCTCAGTTTGCATCTATGTATCATTTGATCGGTTTCCCTGTTTAACAAGTACGTATGCTTGCTCACTCCTCAAAATCCCCGAGGTATTCTGCCATGAAGTCCGAATTGCGATTATCTGATATTTCGAAAAAATGAATATACTTTCCACCCAACCATTCTCCCACTAATGGTCTTTTTCTTTCAAAGGTAAGCAGGCAAGCATGAATTCTCGGGATGTCTCCCCAATTAGTCCGTCTAGGTTAGGCCCGTGTCGCTAATTAGTTCGCATCGAAATCCCACAAATGTTTCGCTTCTACAATTGCTTCACGACAAACATCGGTAGAAACAACTCACTACTTTGTATCATTCATTTACTCAATTCAATCTAGATAGAAGCAACCGAGTTCGAGGCTGAATCGAGTATGCGAAACACACGAATCGAAGGAAAGGATGGGTATGCGCATCACTCAGAAGAGATTATTTCTCACTCTGGCAGAAATTTCGAGTTGGATAGAGTGATATTATCATTTAGTAATAGAGTTTGTCTTGCTAGGAAATTCCATGGTATCGCTCGTTTCGTGTCATCTTTCTCAGCTATTTCTTTGTGCTCGTTTGGCATTGAATTTGACATCGCGGTTGAATGAAGTTTTCTTTGAATATTTCTGTGTGTCCCGATTCTTCGGACACCATATCCTACAAATTCTCAATCCTTTTCGTTCTAAATCTCTCGAGATTCTACCAAGTGCGTATCGAAAACTTTTTTGTCATCTGGTATATGGGAATTAGTCTTATCTTCAGTGAGGTTATGATTTAAGTTTCTCGTACGATGATGACGGATTCACCTTGTTTCTTGCCTGGCAGATTTGAGACATAATGGTATCATCATAGCTTCATCTTACAAGGCTTTTTACCCTCCACCAATAGCATACAATGAGTGATAGATTGTCGTAAAACTTTGAATTATCTTCTCAACTTCTGGATATATTTGGCGAACCCTCAACCGAAATCATGAATTGATATGTGTGTCATTGCTGATTTCTCTGTGTTCGCTTTTGCATCGCGTTGCTATCTCTCCATTCCATGAAGACTCTCAATTTTGTCTCGTACTATCGAGTCTAGGGCTAGTCTCGTGTTGTGCGATAGAGGCAGGAGACGTTCGTTCTCGATTCGCGACGTCCTGGGACTCGGGAATAAGGCTCTAAATATCGGTATTGATCGTTGATAAACGTCGCTACGGAATTCAGTCAGTTTCTCTTGGTTCTTTGATCACTGCATTGCATACCATTAACTTCAATATTCATGGTTCAGACTTTAGAGACTTTGTTCGAGTCATGCGCCAATACCAGCTATATTTTCAATCGTGCCGTCTACAGCGCGGAATCAAACCATGGAAAGGTTCAAAAGCATGTGGCATGTCGAACATGAATGATTTGTTCTATTCGATATCTCAATCTTGAGCTTGTCAATTGCTCAAGGACACGAGTGAACTTCGCAACTTAAAGTATCTGCCAATCAGCACTGAAATTTTGGAAGTGCATTTTGTATTTAACAAGTAGAATCTAGTGAGAAAAATTACAAGACGATTATTTTTGTATGTGTGGTCTCTCTCGAAAAGTTGAAGGGATGTGATTTATTATTACTTCGTAATTAAGGAAAGTGCAATCATGCCATGTCTCGTGGCCCCTACATACCTGCCAATAGTCTGAGCTTCGTACTCCATTTCCGTAACTTCTCGCAATGAAATGATGTATCTCAATGCTCAACATACTTAACATGGATTCACATTGACCTGCTCATTTCGCATATCCTCGTGGAAACAATTCAAGGTGTGATCTAGTATCTCCTTCTCTATTTTGACTTCATGTCTAGAGATATGTTCGATTTCTACCATGCACGTCCCCATAGTATCTCCAGGATCGATCCAGAGTGCAATACATCGAGTAGCGTTGCCGTGAAAACATCGATTCTACCTCCAGTAACCAATCCTTTCACTTGAAGTATCTTTTCAAGAGGATTTGCCTAATTCAACCATACGGGCATTCTCGTTAACCAATCTTATCCCTTGCAATATATCAATACATTTTCTAGGGGGTACTTTGGACAATACTATCGATTTTAGTACACTTTTACATTTTTCAACGGCCATTGGCTGAATTTTGAAGCCGAGAAATTACGAAATCCTCCTCATGCAGTTCACTTTAACCAAGTTTAGCCATGTATGTCCTATTTGCTCAAAATTCAGAAATCGCACTAAAAGGTTTAAGAGAATTATTTTGCCTATAAGTATCATCATTTCCCCCCTCTCTCAGACCTTCTTCTTCTTCTTCAGTATGCGAGTTTACTTGGGGTCAGCTTTGTCTGATAGGAGGTGGTGGCCCAAGTACACTTCAGCATGCTCAACGTAAGTCTTCCCTCCCACACCGACGAGTTAATTTATTCTTTAGAATTTCGATCCCGATCGAGGACGACCGCGATGATATGGAAGGGAGGATAAAGGTTGGGCGGGTGAACATGGCCTCATATCGTACAGGCAGGAGATGGGCTCATCTCTGCAGGTCAAATACGATATGGGTGGGAGGCATTGTTTCTCTGGCTTTTTAGCTGGGATTCGAAGCCTACGATCCAATTCAGACGAACTACACATTTGGCCTTGTGCTACTGTGTAAGTTCTAGTAGAAAAATTCGAGGAAACTTGGGTTCCAGTGTAGATCATTCTTGTATAGTACGCATAATTGATATATTCAAATTCTTGCTGCGACCTTTATGCAACTGAACTGACCTGTTTCGAGTGAATTGTTACTGAATATATGTCACTTGCTTCACGGACGCTTCGGGAGTTCGGAAGTCTAATTAAAAGTGGCATTATACTCGAGACAAGCCACAGATAAGAATCGAAAGTTCGGTATTTAAGGAAGCTTCGAGATCATATTTCATATGCTGTAGCCCAACAAATGTCATTCAGCCCTGATGAGAACATCAGGAGTGTTGACTACGCTTGATTGAAGTAGTCGCGGAACATAGTTATCAAGCCAACTTACTCTTTTGCGAAAGCTTCGACTAGAGATGCATGTACTAGCCACACACTTATCGTTTTCGCGAATGATGTACGTTAGTCAATAGATTAGACATTTCTCAAGCGAAGGGATGCTCCCTGTAACACTAACGTAAGACCTTATCGATACTGTAAATTGTAAATTGTAAACAGTCAAGTCTGTTGAAATTTGCCAGTACTTAGTTCATTGACTATCTAAAGTGTGCAGCGATGATAATACGAAGTTGCTAGTCAATGAATTTCCTTCAAAAATGAAATTCTCGCTAAACTTTATTTTAAGGTTTTAGGGGGAACGTGGGGCAAGTTTAGCGATGGGGTAGGTGCAGGTCGCATCAACTAGGTCTAGTTTTTCGAATGAATGACACATCATTGTAAGCTAATATATATCCGCTAGTTTAGAGTAAAAGAATTTTTCTCTAGTACATATTATTGGCGATTAGAACACGATGTTCTGATAAATCAAATGATAATAGCACGACGAAATGTGAGTCGGATATCGTGATAACAATACAGCTGAACTCCTCCGATCATTATCAATGTAAGATACAATAAACTTCTCTACATGGTCATGGTTCAATTACCATCGGTCTGCCTCCTCGTAACACAACGAGGTCACCAACTAAAACCTCTCAAAGTTCATCCGAGCACAGACCACCATCAACACATCGTCCTCGATCACCCGAACAGAATGTTCAAACGCTGACAGTTTACGCTTATAAACCATTTTGTTTCTGGACACCGGTCATGCAGTCATCCCGTATTCTTGACTGAAAGGATGAATAACTCCTTAACCGAACTTCGGTTCGTTCATAATGACCGCCCGGATGTTAAGAGATACAGTTGTCAGCAACGGACGTCTTGTTCAAGAATTCGTAGTTTATAAGAACGGATCAGGCTATCAAAATTCTCACAATTCATCTTTAGAGTTGCTAATAGCCATTCTCAGGTTTCTTATCTTACCCCAATATGAATTCCACCGCAGAGATACGGAATTGTAAAAGCAGCTGTTGGAGAAGCAAGATGCAGCGAATTCCCATCCCACGACTTCGGGATGATTACATTCTCGTCAAGACAATTGCCGTCGCAATAAATCCCACAGATTGGCAAACCGTAGACGAAAAGTCCAGTCCAAGGACAAAGGGTCCCATGCTTTTAGGATGTGATTTTGCGGGGATCGTGGTTGAGATTGGCAAGGGTGTGGAGAAAGAATGGAGCGGGGGAGAAAGAATCGCGGGGATGGCGCATGGAGGTTTGCTCTTGGCATAATGATACAAAATACTATACAAAGTACTGACATCAACACAGGTAATGACATTGAGCCTGGAGATGGAACATTTGCCACATACATTGTAGTCAAAGGCGATGTTGCATTCCACATTCCGGATACCATCAATTTCGAGGAAGCTGCATCGCTTGGCGTTGAAGTTACTACTGTTGCATTGGAGTTTTACAAGTATTTGTCTTTACCTCTCTTGACATTTCCCCTTTCCATGCCAAATTCCGAGAGCAAACTCCCTCTTCTAATCTATGGAGGAAGTTCGGCAACTGGAAAATTAGCTATTCAATTTGCGAAGTTGTGAGTTCTATTTCCCCAGCTACTATGCATTGATAACTAATAGACTCCATGAAAGGTCCGGGTTGCAAGTAATCACTACGTCGTCACCGAGGAACTTTGAGCTGTTGAAAAGCTTGGGTGCGGATCATGTTTTAGATTATGTAAGAGAAGATAACTTTTGGCTCGTGGACTTTCTTGACTAAGTCGCAGCTTTGTCTGAGCTTTGTCTGAAGATTGAATATACATCTGAAATGTTCCAACCCCCAAGGTATCATGCTAATATCATCCAGCATGATCCCAGCTGCGGAGCCGAAATTCGCTCATTTACTAAAAACAAACTTCACCACGTCTTTGATACAATAGCCACCCAATCCAGCTCTCAAATTTGTGCCGATGCACTGTCTACTTCTGGCGAAAATATTTATGTAAATCTCATGGGTATTGAAATGCCCAGAGATGACGTCAAGAATATTTTCTTTCTCGGATACCCGGTTACTGGGGAAGAGTACGGAATCGAAGAAGAATCATGGCCAGCTGCACCTGAAGATTTTGAACTCGGAAAAAGAGCTTTTGTACTATTGGAAAGACTGTTAGAGAATGGGCTGATTAAGAATCATCCGGTGAAGATAACGCATGGTGGCTTGAATGGGATTTTAGAAGGAATGAGAGAGATGCAAGAGGGAAAGGTAAGCGGAGAGAAGTTGGTTTATAGAGTCGGGGAATCTTGAGATATATAAGTTATGGATGACTATGACTCCGGTTGCCTAAGGCCTTTAGGGGGTTTTCCATAACATATCACCTGGGTGTGGGTACTTGTGGCTTTGCACGCAAGTCGATCTGGTGAGTATGAAAGCGTATTTTAAGGGAGATTCGGCCGTTAGTGCCACGAAAAGTCGATGCCCCAAGTAATCTAGACATCGACATACACTCATTTGATCTCATCTTTCATTCAATATATTAATTCAAGAATAAACACCAGATAATTGCTCCTATACCCTAAATTCTCTCAAATTTATGTAATAATCCCGAATTGCTTGACATGAAAAGATTCAATTATTTATACCACAGCTGCTTCATATAGTTCAATAAACTACTCTCATCATGGTCTTCGCATGAACAATGTTTCCGTAAAGAATGAATGCACACAACCTCCAAGTGAAGTTTTGACCATCTTTCACATATAACAGCAGTGTGAAAATCTCGAAATACGATCTCCTTTCAACACTTAGATCAAACTAAACATGCGAACATATCTTGAATGAAAACCGAGTCCTCTCAACATTCAAAACCACCTTACACGATTCCAACATTCGCTTGTGCCATTCCAATTTGACACATTCGATGAAATGCTCACCACCCAATGGGTACCTAAGAATCATCGACAAACAATCTCCATATATCTTCCGCAATTTTGTCTTGTGATGCTATAGTCAAAATTTCGATGATGTATGCGCGATAATGTCGTCGGTGACCATATGAATGCAATTCCTTGACCTTTTTCCTAGCCTTATCTAATGCGGTAAGCCCATTATTATTCGGAATGGAACAATCTGCACCTAGTGATAAAAGAAGCAACACACCCTCAGAATTATCATAGCGCGGATTAATAACTAAAGAATTCAACGCAGTATCCCCTTCACTATTCTGTGCATTAATAGGCGTACCGGCATTGACAAGTTCTAGCATCAGGTCACGCGGAGGAAATGACCTATTTACAGCAACATGCAGGGCCGTGCATTGAGAATTATCAATCGCCGCTACATCTACACCCTTCCGTGTTAAGTTTTCAACAATTCTTGCGTATTGTCCAAAATTGTAGAATCTCATATCAGCATCATCTCCCTTAGCTAGACAATGTATGAGTGTAGCTCCTGAAGAATCTTTGACCATAATATCTGCCCCAAAAGAACAGAGAGCATCTACGATGGCGGTATTGCATCGTGCTACAGCAATTTTCAAAGGCGAAAGGTATTGATCATCTTGTTTGTGTACGCTTTCGTAATTGTCATCCAAGTTTTCAAGTTCATTGACACTATCGTCAGGAGGGATAACGCTCCTGGTCTTACCATTCACATTGGCTCCGCAATGAAGTAGAAACTTGGCCATTTCTTCGTGAGTGTTCCCAGCAGCTATTCCAAGAAGACTGTGACTTTCGTATCGATGCATCAGTCCTTTCGTGAGCGGATCGTTGACATCTATCATAAAATAGTCGAGCAGAGTCTTTGCAACTTCAATACGCGAGGCCTGGATAGCTTCAACAAGACTGATGTAAATAATTTCGTGCCCGGGACTGCCTTTTGCATAGTAGTCACTATATCTGCTAAGAAATTGTCTGACAATCATGACATGCCCCCCCTCAGCTGCAAATACCAATGGATAATATAATTTCCCCAAAAAATCTGTCACGGGCGCATTGCAATCAATGTTTTTGTATGACAACAAAGTCATGACAATTGCCATCAATCCGCATACACAGGATGTGATCAAAATAGATGCATATATTTCCCCACGAAAAGTGTGGTGTTTGATAAAAGTGCCGCCGAATCTGCGTCTTCGAATACCATTTTTTTCGATCCACCGTTTAAATGATGCACTACAGCCCATATCCAGATCATTGCCGATAAAACTTTTCAAAAATTCGCTGGTCACCACATCGGGCTGCGCCAATTTGCAATGCTCAGGCCAATTCACTGCTGCATAATCTGTAAAATCTAGGTTTTTTCGAATAATTTCATCTGCTTGCTCTTTGAAAGTGATTACATGGCGAGATTCATATAAGAAAACGTAAAGGCATCGATTCATCAAGAATAATTCTCTGGATTGGATGCTGAAACAATCTCTTGGGGCGCAATTTTCCAGAAATTCTCGAACCGAAAGGTGTGCAAAGCGTAGAATCCGTTCTCCTTCATCGAATATTATCAGATTCCAGCAAACATCTAGCAACTCATCAACTGTAGAGACCAGGACTTCGTCTGTGTCAATGTCAACAGTGACTGCGGCGAGCATCTCATCCAGATTGAGTCTTCGTCTCGTGCTTAATAACACCTGTAATGTACTGATGGCAACTTTCCGACTTGGCTCTTCCATGCTCATAATGTCTTGATAGACAAGATGATATGAGTCCTCAAGTGATTTTGGGAGCTTTCTGAGGACACTATCAATGTCTCCTTTGACCCTAACCTGCTTACACAATTGCTGTATCTGCAAGGTCACCCATCGAAACCTGTTTAATGGTTCATCTTGTCAGTAATTCCAATTTCCAAAATAGAAACGGATGAGCCTACATTCCCTGAGATCCATCAATAAGAGCTTGAGTTATTTGCTGCTCTATTTTCTTCTTTTCTTCGGGTATAAGTTTTCCTTTGACTATCCTTTTCTTTTCAATTGCCTCGGAAACTTCCTTCTTGACATAATCCTCGATATCTTTAGAAATGTGGCTAGGTTGAATTGAGATGCATGGTGACTCATCAAATTGACTGACTATGTCATTGTCTCTCCTGCTTGAAATGAAAACCTTTACAACACTGGCAGATTCATCAATGATAGTTTTCAAAGATTCAATAAGGTTGTATCTTTCACTGGGGTCACATTCATCCAGTGCGTCGATCACCACATAGAAAGGATCTTCTTGAAGTATCTTAAGAAGCACTTCAGTAGTCTCATCCAAGTTCAAGAGCACCTTTGGAGGAGACATTCCTCGGTTCTCTTTTACCAAATTCTCGTAAACCTCAACAACAGGCTTTCGGATTGGAAGGTTAGCGGTATTTGATGATACCTGCTCTAAAATACTGCGTAGAACTTCTTCGGGGTTGGCTCTCTCAGGTTCTGCAGTGTTACGAGAACAATAGAAATATGCAACCGGAGCTGCAGTCCCCGTGCTGGAAGACTCCTGACAAAGACTTTCGATCACGGCAGACCTAGGAATACTGTCAGAACTCTGATTGTATTGATATCTCAGTTGGTGTTACCTACGTCAAGACGCTTTTCCCGCAACCGGCTATTCCGTTGAGCCATAGTATAGACGATGCACTTGAATCCTTCCACTGGTTGTAGTCGGTCGAACTTAAAAGCCATTCGCAGGAGCCTTCAAGGCGCTCGCTCCGCTTTAATTTGTGATGCTTTCGGTACGGTATTTCTGAGAGCCATCTCAGTAAAGTCTCGCGCTCTCGGAGTTCTAAAGAATCTTGGAAGTCCTGTAAAATTGTTGCGCTTCTTATGATTGGTTGTTCAAATTGTCGAAGAATATCTTCGAATTGACGAATGAATTGAGCGTCAATCAACCTGGTACAAACTGTAACTCGTTGATGTTTGACCCATACCATTTTAAGACCATCTTGTAATTTATTCGAGGGCAATTTGATTGCCGAGATTAGACGGCTTGGCGTGCTTTTTCGATATATTTGAATCGCATGTGACTCAAATGTCAAAATCGCGGCATAAAGTTCCAGCAAGGCTTCATCAAAGCCCGTGTCACCAGCAGCTTGTGAGTAGAGATCTTCGAGCACCTTGCACTGAGCGATCAGCTTTGAGATTTGTTCCAACCCCTCGATCAAAACCCCAAACGACTGACTATCTTCAACTGCAATCGTAAGAAGCAATCGCACCGCTGCCCAAGGGAGAGCTGCATGTCCAGGATCGTAACTGACGATTATATCTCCGATATCCTTTACTTTGTTCACCCAAACAAGTATTTTTTCGAAGAGATCTCGGACAATTATCGTTGTGCCATTGTTCTTTTTGTATTTCCATGCTTTTTTTATGCATACTTCTTTTTTCTCGGTAGCAAGATTGTGAATGTCTTGAAGAATGTCCAAATAACCCGCTCGAGTGGGGTCTAGTTTGATTTCGTCTTTATCTTCCTTCTTCAATGATTCCCAGGCTTGGTGCCATCGTTTCTCGGCCACTGTGCGCTGCGGCATCGTGGAAGTGGAAGATGGGCTAGCCATCTCGCTATAGACAAGTAAACAATCTTCGTATATTTGTAAAATGTATGGAAGGTATGATAAGATTTTGTGGTTATTTTCGATGTTGTCGTTTTTATGGGGCTGGCTTTGGTGGCCAGAATAGCCGTGTGATTATCCGGAGGGAGCTGAAGAAATCACTGGCCAATGAACAGCCTTGCCACTTGATTCCATGCAAGTTTCAATGCCAACAGTTAAAGTGAGAGTCAAAGTTACAGGGGGAGGGGCTACATATAAATGATCTGCTGATTATTAGCCCAGTTACCCTTACTGTGAAGCTCCACCAGAAATCTCCACTCTGGTTATCTATTGGGATGTTTTTTGATTGACCACTTGAATCAATTGACATCTTTTCCCAGTGCCAGGGTATATGGTGCGGCTAACATGAAATTCAAATTTGAGTAAAGTTAATACATAGTATTATACGACATTAGCTCGGGGTCTTCTACATAAATTCGTTAAGTACATAAACAGTCTTGATCCACTTGATCCCGGATTATACAGATAACGCTAGAGGGCTCTTAGAGTTGTTTTCATGCGCTACTGTCATATATGATGTTTTCCTTGGTTTCATAATAGAAGTAATAGCCATGTTGTATAGAGCGCAATCCGATGATGCGACTTTAATGCGACTGTCAAGACCTGACCTCCGTCGTTAACCAATCCGGAGGCCAAAAACGTCCCGGCCGGGCACCTCCTCCTTTCCCTCTTCCAATTGTGATGATTGCGATGACTCACAAGTAATCCTGAAGAATCCCATAAGAGAGTCGGACGTTCGTAAGATGCAACGCAAATAACCCCAGTCCCCCTCCAACCTTATCTGGACATTGCAGGAGATTTGATACATTTGGGGTACCTACTCTCTACAGTCCAAGGTACAGGTTTTCCAATCAAAAGCAAGCTTAAAAATCAATCCTCCTTCTGATCTCATTTCCATCTTTCGAATCGACAGAGTTAGGCACTTCTATTTGTGTCCTGTAAGTTTTCTAAGTAACTCAAGAAAATATAGCAGTACCCAACGATTCTCGAGATATCAATTAACACAACCACTACACCTCTCTCTGTGTTAGTCGATTGAAACTCCTGTTTCATTACGCAAATTTCACAAGATTTACATTAGAATATTCTATAGACAAAGCAGCCTCACCAAAGCATCGATTTAGAGGCTTCATATACGCAAGATTAAGAAAGAAATAAACGAGTAACTCATTAACCGACAGAGACACAAGATTCTCGACTACGAGCAATAGACATCCATTTCTGCTACACTTGTGAGTAAAACTTTCTTCAGATGATCCAATGATCAATACCACGACCCAAAACAGGAGCATCCTCGCAGCGAGTTCTTCAATTGGCCACTTCTCTCCTCAAGAGCTTCAAGGTCTATCGACCCAAACCGCACCAATATCTTACAACCTCCCCAAAAGACTCGAATACAATACAAACCCACACAAACACAAACACAACAAATTCCCCAACTACAAGCCCCTTGCTTATTTTCTCCATTCTCCTCATCTGTCCCATCTCTCACAACCATAGCATCTCTTTTCGAAGTCCAAACACCACCCCAATGCCAGAAACATTCCATCTGCCTCTACACCTTCTCCCCTCCCCCTCCCCTCCTCAAACAACCCAAACAAAAACAACTCTTCGAAAATCTCAACCAATCTCAACCCCCTCACTACACCAAAACAGAGTAGAGCAACAAGAGCAGAAAAGAAAGCCTATCTACAATTACTCAACCACTATAAGTAATCAGATGAGCAGGTAAACCAGGTACTTCAAGCCACTGACAGGGAGCCTCTGGAGTCAGAAGATAGAACATAAAAGAGATAAAAAAGAAGCGAAAAAGAAGTCATTGAGAAGTCAGAACCAAGAAGAGAAATCCAACAAATCCAACAAATCCAACAAACGAAAAAAAACTTATAATAAAAATTACGCATAAGCAAATTCCCACTCCCTTCTCCTTCTTCTCCTCCTCCTCCTCCTCCTTCTCCTACTTCCTTTCAAAGAATTCCTTGCTTCTAAAAGCCGAAAGTATTCCACTACCAATTTTGCTACTGGCAAAATATATACAGAACTGAGTATACATCATCATCATCAAGTATTTCTGATATCAAAGACTGTTGCAGAGAAAGATACATTCAAAAATTGAAATCACAAAGATGTGAACGGAGATCAGAAAACCCTCGTGCATCAGTGTACATACCTAGGTACCATCACATCACACAATTACCCATACGAAATAAAATCACACTCAAATTTCACAAACACAAAAAATAATAGCAAACAAGCACATAGCCACAAATGAAGCAGAAAACTATGCAGTAGTCAAAGTAACCATCGAATTGATATGTTCATGACTATCCATCATCTAGTTATCTGACTACTCTCTCCAATGGATTCATTATCCACCCTCATATCTCTCAAAATCAATTCATGCATCCCTCCAGTCTCATACAATCATGCAATGCATCCTTATGAACCCATTCCATTCCATCCCACCCCCAACCATCATTTGAGTCGTGAAGATAACTATTTGAAAACAATGAATTTGTATGCCTTTTAGAAGAGTGAAAACAAATCCAGCCAGCCATAATGTTAATATAAATCCAGATTTGTTGAATGTGCAATCCAGATCTTTTGCTTGTGCATCAAGTCGTTAGACAACGAAAATAAAGAAAATAGTAAAAGCAGGAAAATGAATTTTTGGTCGTAGTAACACAGTTAATTTTTAGTATGAAGATCGAATTCTTCCCTCAAGAAAGATCAACAGCTACCAAAGGTTGTGCAAGCTAATTTTGGTCAAATAAATTAATGTCCATAGTTGCCACCCCATCCACCACGTTGTTGGTTGTTACCAAAACCCTGGTAACCCCCATAACCTTGGTAGCCTCCATATCCACTACTCTGGTGACCTTGGCCAGCAGCCTGGTGACTTCCAACACCTCCAAGACCACCATATTGGCTACCAGCTTGGCTACCATGGAGTCCATGTCCTTGAAGATGACTTGGGTATCCACCATATCCACCTTGTTGGGACTGGGGTGGTGGCAAGACTGATCCAGGGGTGGCATTAGTAGCAGAACCAGGACGTCCAGCTTGGGACAAAGATGGGCTTGGTCCATTGGTTGTCTTTGATTCACCGAATGGTTTCAAGTCATCACTAGCTCCTGGTTGGCTACCTTGAGTTGCATTGTAGTGCTGACCTGAAGGATAAGCACCACGGCTAAATGCATCATGAGAACCAGCACCGAATCCACCGCTTCCACCTAGTGCTTGAGGAGTCTGAGACGATTGGGATGATCCAGCTCGGCCATACTCGCCCAATCCTCCTCCGACTGCGGAATCGCGACCATGGAGAGAAGATCCAGCGAATCCTCCAGCAGCAGGGGTAGAAGTGTGGTCATATGGTGCACCAGGAGACATGTAACCTTGGTATGGTTGACCATGAATGCCACCCTTTCCACCACCATATGGAGAACCACCGTAGCCACCGTATCCGCCGGCTTGTTGGAATTGACTCATGTAAGCATTGTAGTATGGGGTTTGATAGTAAGGATGACCATATGGATAGGCTCCCTGGGGTTGTTGTGAATGGCTAGGTTGAGGTTGAGTTGTTTGAGCAGCAGCACCAGTTTGTTGTTGGCTTTGAGCTACTGGGTTAGGAGTAGTGTGTCCACTGTTCTGTCCTTCTCCTGCTCCTGCAGTTGCATAGCGAGATTGGGATTGTTGACCAGAAGTTTCAGTTTGGGGTCCATTATATCCACCATAAGATCTTTGAGATGATGAAGCATCTTGACCTTGACCACCTTGTTGCAAGTTATATTGTTGCTGATAGTAACTGTTATAGTTTTGTCTTTGTGGATCAGAGGTGTAGTAAGAAGAGTAATCGTTGGGCGCAGAAGAGAATGCACCAGATTGTTGCTGTGCCTGGGATTGAGATTGGCTTGGGTAACCTTCAAATGGGCTTTGCGAGCTTGGTGCTTGTTGACTGAATGCATCGTACGGCTTCTGTGGCAATGAAGACTGATCTTGAGATCCTGGTTGTCCATATCGGCCATATTGACCCAATTGAGAGCCAGCTTGGGATCCCTGTTGAGGTGCACCTGTGAAGTAGAAAAATTAATAGCTGTTAAGTGAACATAATGAGCGCGAAACTTACTTTGAGAAGAAGGATGAGTTTGTGGGGAAGGAAGGCCAGGGGCAGCTGTTGGGTGAGTAGCAGCAGGCAATCCTGGAGCTTGCTTTGGGGTTGGCAAGGTTTCAGAAACTGGGGCAGCTTGTTGAGGGGCGGGAGGCAAAGTAGCTCTTGGTGCTACTGGAGAATGCTGAGGTGGCTGGGCTCTAGTCTCTGGCTCTTCACGATCACCATCAACATCATCTTCGCCTGTAAGGTTGAATGCGCCGAATTGTACAGCAGCTCTATCCACTTCACGATTTCCTGGCATGCGGACAGCTTCTTCCTGGTCGAGGACGCGGCGTTGAAAGCTTGGTGTACGACCTGATGATCCGGTAGCCTTTAATGCAGAAGCTTGGAAACCACTGGTTGGAGCACGGGAAGCAGCTGAAGTTTGAGTTGGCAATGCTGAGTAGGGTGTAGAATTTCCAGTAGCATTTCCAGCAGCATTTCTTGGGTCCCAGGAGCTTGCAGCAGTGCTTGCGGCTGTCGCACTTGGGGGTGGAACCGATTCATCTGGAACTTGTTCGAGATTCGTTTCCGTCAATTCGTCCTTCGATGGGGTGAGATTAATATTAGCTTCGGGCTCCACAGGTGGCTCGACAGGTGCAATAGGTTCTGGGATTTCGACGGTTTCTGGTTCGGGAACAGAAGGCTCTGGCTCCGAAACGACTGGGGCTTCAACAGGTTCCTCTGGTTTGGGGAGCTCTGCAGGCTTTTCCACGGGTTCTGGGGCCTTCTTTGGCTTAGGTGCTGGTGCAAACATACTTGCCCAACTCTTTTTGACACCATCAGGAATAATAGTTGAAGCGGCACTTGTAGCAGCGGCCGCAGTTGTAGCAGCAGCGTTGGTTGCTGTAGCACCCCAAGTGTTATCAGCCTCAGCAGGTTTGGAAGATTCCGCATCGGCAGGGGTATCTTTGGTGGTGTTTTCAGTAGTGGCCGCAGTGTCCCAAGCGTTGGATTCAGTTGTAGGAACAGAGACTTCGGCGGTTTCGTTACGTGTACCATTTGTATGCGCAACTGGAGCCCCACGAGTTCTGCCACCTCTGCCTCTTTCGTTACCGCGACCACGTCCTCTAGTACCGTCGAATCCACCTCGACCACCTCGGGAAACTCTTCCAGTGTTGGTTGACTCATTAAGAGGGGCAGATGATGTTGAATCGTGAGCTTTGGACTTAGATCGATCTTTCTTATTTGAAACTTCTCCCCATTGTGAAATGGTACCTTTGATGGTGAGAGGTTAGCAAACATACTTGAAGAAAATGGGCTTGATAAAGATTGTTGAAAGTTGAATGAAATTCTTACCTTCCGAAATGCGCTCAACAGTACTTTCTAAATCTCCATCGGTTTCCTCGAGGGCCATAACGACATCCTCGTCTGTCCAGCCTGGAAACAATTCTTGGATGGTGCTCACTTTACTACCATGCTTCTTCTTTAATTGAACAACCTCACTATTATTTTGCTCAATTGATGCAGTAGTAGATGTGTTCTCGTTGGTTGCATGACTTCTTGCTCCGCCGCGACCACCAGCTCTTGATGCAAAACCTCCACGACCACCACGAGCTGAACCTCTGCCACGAGGCGTTGGTCTAGGTTGTACCTCTGACATTTTATGAGGTTATGTGTATTTGTGTAAGCAAGAGAAAAAGTAACAGGAGAAAGAGAGTTGAGGGAAATGTAGAAGATTGTTGGATTGTGGAGGGTTTTCGTTGTATTGTGAGAGAGGAGGAATGACGCTTTTGGTTTGGGATTTTAGGTGAGGTAGGTTAAAAAAGGCACAGGGCACAGATTTAAGCTCTCCTTTTAATAAAATCGGCTTGTCGCGTCAGTTATGTAGGATTCTCCACGATGTTTACTTTTAAAGTAACAAAATTGATTAATATGCGAAAACAAATGGGATTGTTACACAATTAAAAAGATTGCAATAAAAAGAATAGACAATGATTTGAAGTTATTCAAATGAGCACCACATAGCAAGACATGGTTGATTTCTTCCTCTTCAATTTTGAGAAATTCTGATTCCTTTACTGCAATTGAATGTTCAAAAGTTTCCTTGGCTCTAAGTTTTAGCGCAACAGTCACGTGTAATTAGATAATACCTTGGCTCGGTGCAATCATTTTCATGGATCAAGCTCGCATGATTGGTTGGATTTATCAACAAGGGCGTTAGGCGGCGGCAAAAAGAGCAAACCACAAAAGACCACAAGATCACGGCAGACGAAAAGTGCTTAGTATGAAATAAAAACGGTGACCTCCAGGGCTGCCCAGGTGGAGATGAGTGGAAGTAGGAGAGTGGCTCAAGCATTGCACATTCGAATGGTACGTAGGTAGGTATTGATTGATATCTTATAACAATTGTTACTGAATTTACTTAATTGATTACATTATATCTGACAGAATGACAACCGTTAATCTTGTCTATCCAGATTATTAATCAAAATAACAATTCATTGAATTGATAGAATAATTACAAAAAAGCAGTGATTTATTCCAGGTTGGCTCGTTGGTTGCATCCACCTGCAGTCCAGAATGTGGCTGAGGCTGAGGACCAGGTGGTGGGTGGTGGCACAGGTGGGGTGGATACGACGATTATGAACATGCGCTGATTGCTGGTACAATTGGAACGTCTTGAAATCCGCGGATTATCATTATCGCAAAAGATACCTAGTCACTGCTGCTGGCATACCTCAAATCCTATCATTTGACTTAGGTATATCCTCTAATCACACTACCAATCTTACCCTTCCCCACCTGTTACAGATGTGGTAGATGAGGTGTACATACATACTGACCGTGCAAAGGTTCCTCTGCAGAAACCGAGGAAGTTGGAGTTCACTCACTCCCCCTTGACCACTCCACCCACTTTCAACTATCCCATAGTTTGATTCTCGTACTGCGAATTAAGTAATCAGAAGAGGGCCTGCAGCATTACGTCGATCATTCTACCTTCAACACGAATTACCATAAAGCATACTGCTTTCGAGGACTACATTTTTACAATTTATTGCTCGCAGACCGAAACTCTGCACAATGCTTCGAACTACTCCACCAAGTCTCTTTCGCCAACTGCCCGCCCTTCTCAAATTTAAGCTTCATCAACCCCTACCCTTGACTCAACGTGAATCTACACAATTACTTGAACTTCTCACAACATCATTCCGACAACAACTCGACTCGGAGCATGGCCCTTCGCACACGAGTAGCAATGTCGAATCAACTCAATCCAATAAACAGTATCCAAATGGCAGGTCCAGGCGTCTCTCAGATTCTGGTCATAAGCACACCGATCGCCACATCAAATCCATTCTCACAAATCCTCTTTTCAACCAACGAACGCAACAAAGGGGTGAGCCTGGGTCCGCGCAGGATCCAATGGATACATTTGATAGGGCTGTTGGGCGAGGAATGATGACTCTAAACTATGCAAGAGCAATTTTGATGGCCAAAAAGAAACAACTTCAGTCATCGCACGAAACGTTGGAAGAGAGCATGAAGAAATCAGGCGCCGGGCTCAAAATCTTGAAGTGGTTGACGTCAAGTGGTATAAACCAGAATATTGATTTCTTATTGCAAGATCAAAGATTTGCAATTTTACTCTTTGAGTTCATGCGTGCAGAAGGTTATGAAGAAGTATTTTGGGAGTGGATAAGCAAAGCCATTCACAACAACAACGCTACAGAATTTGAATTCCGTGGTTTGGCTCAACTCCTTTCTAAAATTGTTACACTTACAGCCAGACTCGAGGCATCGTTTAACGATTCAATCTCTATTTTGCTTCGAATAACAAATATGGCGAAAGACTTGCGATTTGAAAAGGTTCACAGTCTTCTAACAGAACCCGGACAGCATGTATTTCACTTAATTGTCGAGTCCTCTCGACAAGTGCGAGAAGCCACTTCAATAGAAGCTTTCAAAACATTCCAACAAATTCTGCCAGAGTTTAGCATCCATGATGTTGACCTGCATACCTTAGATTTATATTCCCCATACCATCGATCCGCAGATCATTTCTTAGAATTCCTTCGACAACAACATTCTTCAAGAGGGTCAGAAAGCGAGGATCTTGTACAACCATTTGAAAGAAATGAAGCGAAGAAGATGGTTTCGATATCTCTGATGGCAGCCAGGATTCTACTCGAGCAGAATCGGGTCAATGATGCAACTTGGGTAATGGAACACTTGCGCACAAATTATCCTAAACTATTAGGAATTGAAGCAGATAACCAGGAACGGAAAGGAGAAGTTGATGAGGCATCAAGTATTCAAATACTAGAGTCCTTTAGCATAGCTTGAGCGGTAGCTTGATTTGTAGTTAAGCTGATGAGCATTTTGATGTATTTATATGTGATTGGCGTTAATGGCTGGTTAACCATTGATTAATGGATGGTTGGAGGGATAGTTAAAGGGATAGGAAATGTATTGCGATATCTAAATACAACATGAGACTCAAATGAAAGCCTGTAAATAAATACTTCTCTTTGGTGACTTATTGCTGAATATTCTGGTTAGTATTAGATTCTTCAATCTCATATAGCTCTTTGGAAGATTGGGAAGATTGGAATGATTAAATTGTAAATATAAGATTCAAAAATCATTTCGAGTTGATAAATCCATATAAATTCAATCTCATACAGCTGAAGCTCTCAATTACAATCAATACAAGTCATCTGTTGAGCTAGAGCATAGTAGAGTATAATTGATAGAATATCACTAGTAACTCTTATCGTATTCACATCTTCAAACAGTTCATATAATACCTATTTATCTTTCATCTCCATACTGCTACCTGTAGTACATACCTACATAGTACATTCCAATTTGATAGACAAAGCTCTACAAAGTACATTCTCTATTCTCCATTACAGTGCGTAGAATTGTAAGACAAGTAATGACGTTATAATCCTCTTCATTCCTGGTTAACATCACGTGAATAAGCGGATCTACCTATGCATTAGCTTGCTGCTCTCCGTCCCCTTGCAGACAGGCCTCGGGATCAGGAACAGAACACGATGAATCTCTTCATTCATCATCAACATTTGAGTTACCCGACTCTCATGGATTGATTGAATTGAGTTTCGGCATCGGGTAATTGAGATGAATATACCTAGTATTTCAAATCATTCAATATTTCTATTTCTCTACGAGTATATCTTTCATCTCATCTCATCATCTCATCATCTTATCACTACATTGCACAACAATACCTAGATACCACGAGTAATCTCTTCTTCAATCATTTCTGCAGTCATACACGGAGTAAATATGTGGGAATGATGTCGATGCATCCCAACCCTGCCATTTCCCCGCAATTCAGATCGGGTTGAGTGCGTGGATTGCGCCTCCAGCACCTAGAAGATTCTATAGAAAATCTTTACAAGATAAGTCGTAGCCGTAGCCGACTATGTCCGATTAAATTGAAATACTTCGTATAGGTAGAGGAAAGAAAAGAAGAAGAGGAAAAAGATAAATGATTTATAACTTAATAAGGTATTGTATTTTTCTTTTTGCGGAGAATTTTCGATATCGTAATTATATTCTTGAATATCTGATTCGTTAATCTTATAATCTAATCTTTTAACGTATTGAGTATAATCTCTTTATAGGAGAAAAAACAGATCGAAATTAATTACTAATAAAGCTCTTTAATAATTTAATTATTTTATTTTAATTTAAAGAATCAAATGTTTAAATAACTCTAAGAATTAAGAATTGTTTAAGGATTTATTTGATCTTATTAAATATAATAATTTTATTATTAGATGATTTTACTATAGAATTTATCAGTGTTTAAACTTTAATCTCTTTTCTCCAAGTACTAATAGAGGCAATATCCACAGTTTGCTAGAAAAACTAATCCATTTCCGGTATCCCCTCTCTACGGTAACCCGGAACTAACCTTGAAAGTCATTGCAAAAGCTTGTAGTACCCGAGCGAGCTTGCAAGCTTGGAGCGTCATATTGCACATATTTACTTTGCTTTGCTTTTCAACGTCAACTCTTTGATGATTCTTCTGTTTATTTTGTCGCAACACTTCAATTGACACGAAATTTTCTATTTGATTACTTCAATTGAATCGCGAGAGACAATTGAAAAGATCGTGGAATTTGGATTGATATTTTTATCTTGAGTCACTGAGTTACATTAAAAATTCGAAGATTCTCAAAAAGACCCGGAAGACGAGAAGATTGAAAAAGATGGCTGATAATAAGATCGAAGAAGGCGACAAAGGTATGTGAGATCTATTACTTGTTTTCTATCTACTAGAGAGGAGAATTCTGGATGTCACTATCTGAAAACTTCTTGATTTGTACCACCTTTTCCTTACAAACGCCATTTCCATTCTCGCAAGCTTTGCGCTCCGCGATTCCTTCAACTTCTTCAACTTCCTCCACTCCACTCCATTCCCTTCACTCCTCCCCCATTACTTAACTTACGCATCATTACCCATTCACATAATACCATGGCGATCTTCAATCTACCTCGGCTCAATTTCACACGACTGACAAATCTTCGTACAGTGTCCTGGAGCTGGGGCGGCGCAAATCCAGATGGAACCGCTGCGGAAGTAAAGGCTGGTGAAGTCTCGGTTACTAGTCATCGCGGAAATGA